GTTTTGAGAGGTAGGAACTCTGTACTACTCCAAACAGAAAATTTGAAAAAATATCATGTAAATTCTTTTTAACTGTCAAGATAAACTCTTAAGGGGAAAGTCTGAACTTCCATTTTGTTATGTTCCAGTTCCATATAAGTTGAATTGAACTCAAGTTATTATGGTGTTTTGAAGCTTATAAAAAACCAGCAAATTTAAAACCCATTTTGATCAGCAAATCTATAGTTGGTTTTGAAACACTTTTCCCATTCTGGTTTTAAATTGTTTTAGCGCGGGGCTTATGTATGGCAGTTTACAGTACTCTAGAGGTACAAATGTATAGGAAAGCATAGGTTGTGGTTCCATTTAATATTTTTTTCTGTGATTCAGATTTCTTTTTAAGATTCAGCCAAATCTAGCTTAGTAAGCAGTTTAAAGTATCACAATTAGGGCTTGATGTCAAGTCAATCCATAGCTTCTACTTTTATTGAAATTTTGGAGGATGTAATGACAGGAAGGAAATTTATTTCCCACGGCATGCACTTTTGATTGACTAATTTGCTTCAAGTAAAAACATCCTTCATAGGTCTGCAGAGCTTTTGGTGATAAATTTCAGTGGTGCTTTGAAGAACTACCTTGTCAGGTATTTCTGTGGTGTCATGTTCTTGTAACCTCTCCTTTGGGGTATGCAGGTACCTGATAAAAGTTATCAGACAGTCTCTTTCACTGAGATATGACATATTAACCATATCAACAAGTAGATAATATTATTGTATATAAAACTTCAAAGCTGCTTTTGTGTAGGGTTTGCTCTAAAGAAAGCACAATGTGCCAAACAGTTTCTCTTTCTTCCCTGAAATCTGTACTTTATGGTGACCGTCTCTGTTTGGGACCATCTTGGCCAACTTACTCAATCTTTCTTGTAGTTATGTGTATAGAGGGTAGAACTGTTTACAAGATTCAGAAAAAAAAATATAAATAGGCAATAAGGGTCTTAAGAGTCAAAGAAGCTGAGACAACTCTAACACACTTAATATTACCTGTTTTTCAATATTTCTGGGAAAATAGTCTTAGTCAAAGGAACACCAAATCAATTGATTGGTTAATATGAATTGTTGAGGGACAAATACCAGGTTTTTAGTTGAAAATCAAATTTTATATGACTTCTAAGTATTCTTTTTCACTATTTTTCAGTTCAACAAATGGCTTTCAAGAGAACTATGACTTCTCCTTTGCTAACATTTTACCTCATGGAGTATGCAGTGCTGTTTACCATCCTCAACACAGCTTGTTGATACTTGGTAGTCTGACAGGTCAAGGGCAGAGAACTTCAGCAGGTTTGTTGATGTGGAAAGAAAATCAAGTCAAGAAAAGTGGATTTGTCTTAATTTTCTTTGTTTCAATTGTAGTTGTTTTAATTTTCGTTTTTTTTTTACTGCAGATGAGCCTTGTCCAGCTTCCCTTTATGGTTTGACTGCTTGGAGGATTCTCTCAGGATATCCTCATTATAATCTCATTGAAGATGACGGCACACAGTTGATCAAAGTAACTTTTATTTTCTCTATGAGTTTCTCTTGGTGAATTTTGATTTGGAGTCAGTATTTTTTTTTTATTTTTAACTTAAGTTAATGTTCTTTGCTGGATTTTCAGTTTGGTTCTGGGATATTGAATAAGCTTAAAAGTCTACCACTGCTAAATTCTGGAAATGAAGGGCAGGTGAGAAGCTCTTTGTGTAATGTGTGTTTTTTTTTTGTTTTTTTTGTTTTTGCATGTGTGTGTAATGCTGTTTAATGCTACTAAACTCCTTGAAAAAATGAAACAGCCAAACCGCCACTTAAACAACAATTCAATGCTGTAAGTTCAATTCAAAAATCTCCACAAATGTGAGTTTCATGCACACACCATCCACTAAACAGCTTACATAGTTACTTAAAAATCATCCACACAAACAGCAATTGCATGTGTTATGCCAATTCAGTTGTCTTTTTAATTGTATGTGTACTAAAGAATAAAAGTTCTTCCTGGGACACTTGTATGTCATCTTGCTTAGACCCCTTTTTTTGTTAAAGTCTTTTTTCTTAAGAGGACACTAAATCTGATAGACCTTATTCTTAAACTACGCTGTTTAAGCTCCCCATCTTTCCCACTGTTTAGGATGGTGTGGTTTACATGTCATTGTCTCCAGATGGCACTAAGCTGGCAGCATTACACTTGTCAGGAACTCTGTCTTTGTGGCAAGTGCCATCACTCAGATGTCAGAGAATGTGGACCAAAGATGAACAGGTACTTTCTTTAGATTACTTAACAATGTTGCATGGGATCTGATGGAATAGTAGATAGTGCACTGAACTCTGGATCAAATAGTGTAATTCAGAGCCTTGACTGAGTCACTGTATCGTATTCTTGGGCAAGATACTCAAGTATGCACTGGACTGTAGATCAAACAGTGTAGTTCAGAGCCCTGACTGAGTCTCTGTATTGTATTCCTGGGCAAGACACTCAAGTGTGCGGTGGACTCTGGTTGTCTCCTCCCTGGAGAGGAAAAGGGTACCAACAAGCTCAGGGGAATCCTTATGAGATAAGGAAGTAACTATATGATGGACTGGTATAAAGTAATGCAATTTTTTTTTTCTGGCAGCCCTCAGTCAAGAATCATGAAGAACATTCTGCCTTTTCAGTATCAAAACCATTGGATTCTAACAAGGGTTAGTTATCTTTAAGGCTGTGTGATAGGGGAAGAGGTTGCAGGTTAACCCTAAGCAAGTATTTTAAAATATATTTTAACAAAGTACACGCTTGTTATGCAATTCTTTTGACTGGTATACCTCAGAATACCCATAAGGGAATGGATAAACATGAATTACAGGTAAAGAACTTATTCAGGAACAGAAGCTTGAATCATTAGTCTTGCTATTAAATGATCTTCCTCAAGTCTATATCATTGTTAGGAAAGCTGTTATTACATGTAATTATTGTTATTATTATTATTATTATTATTATTATTAACTACAATTAGTGGTCAAATGGAGAGTTATCTGGCTTTTACTCTCATATTATATTTACTTTTTATTATCAGATTCATCTTTTTGTGGATTAATTGATGTCAATTGGTGGACAGAGGAGGTGGGATTAATAAGTAATTCAGTACATTTTCAGTAGTGTCAAAAACACATTTCTATATTAAATGGCTGTCCTTGGTGGAATGGGTAACTGTGACCTGAAAAGAGAAGAAAGATATCTTGTTAGCACCAAGCAACATGAAACTTTTGGGGCATGGAAGATGTTTGGGAGATTGTCTACTGTCCAAATGAGCTCTAGCAGAAAAAAATTTAGCTAAAAACACTTGACACTTACTGTATCTATGAAAAAAAAAAAACTCAATGCATTTGATATCCATTTACATGAGTTATCTATCTACAAATCATGCTCTATTTCCCCCCACTCCTCCTCCCTTTGGTGTAACTAACTCAATTAATGAAAGATTTTTTAAAAATGTAATTTTTTCTTTCTTGTTAATTCTTGGCTGCTCAACAATAAAATCACAGAGATTAGCTAGTTCCCAGCAGGAATTCAAGCGATCACAAGACACACACAAAAAAAATTATTCAAGGAACAAATTAAAATATTCTTAATCCAAGAACTCCTTCTCACAGTAAAACCATGACAAACCATGGTGAGAAGCCTTGTAAGTAGTGTTATAGACACATAGGTGACTGAAAACAGCTTTTATGAAAATCTCCTGGATATGAGTGGAAGATTAAACTATTTTGTTCAAATTTATCTATAAAGCTTCCCTTTCTTTTCTTACTTTCAAGAATATTTTCCCCTTTGCTTCAAACTCTTATTTTGCTGTTGTTGTTGTTTTTTTAATAGGCCTTAATTTTGTCTCACAGCATTGGGGCTCTAACTGTTTCCTCTGTAGAGGAGAGGTATGTGTAAAGAATACTGAAACTTCAAAATGAAATGAAGAGTAAAATAAAAATTGTCAAAATCGCCTGTGAGATACAAAGCTGAAGGGAAAAATTTTGCATGGGAATTTGCCAGGAGCCAGAAGATGTGTTCCATCAACCTCTTCCTCTCCTCCTCCTACACATGGTGAATAGGTGTGAGAAATGGTGAACATTTCCTCATAGTTTTGCCAAAAATTGAGCTGATATTCAGATCTTAAGAGAAAGTGAAGCAGCTGCAAAAGTTTGCCATAATTTCTGATTCTTTCTGTCAAGAAGTGAGGATGATGGATTACATTTGATTAGTGTTTGGAAGGCCCAGGTTGTAACGTTTGTGTTTTTTTTTTTTTTTGCTTAAAGTCAACCTTCAACCAATGATGGTGACATTGGGAGGGCTAGTGATATATGTTAAACTCCACTGTAGTTGGAATTATTTGACAGTTTTTGTCCTCTATTTGCAGTCTTAATAACTTACTTGGTAGCCATCCAGAAAGGTGTGAGCCATGGTCTCGCATTACTGCTGCTCATGATAAAGGATTCCTCATTCTGGAGGTAAAGTAATGACAACAGAGAATAGTTAAATGCAATCATAATGATAAGTCCATTACTAAAGAAACCACCTCACTCTCCCTCTTTGTTATAAATCACAAATAAGAGTCCAAGTTACTCAGCAGCCTCTAGTTAGTGCAGAGATAGGTAAGGCCAGTGATATGGCTACAGCTGTGGAGAAAATATGGAGAATAACAAGACAGAAGTAACTTGAAGATGCAAGAAGCTTGAACAGAGCAAAGCTTTACAATGCATATACTACAGTACTCAGAGTTACTCCATACTTGCAACAAAGTGAACTGGTTGCCACATGTTTAAAACTGTTTTGTCTTGTCGTCATCAAGTGAACTGATGCTAAACTGGTTTAAGTGACAAACATCCATAATAATTCTACCAACAACTTTGGATCATCCACATATGTTGCTTAAAAACGGAACACTACAGTGGTAGATATGTGTTTGGTAGTACTAATTATAATGAGACCCAAATAGTAAATTAAAGTAAACATTGTATAGTTTTTCTCTTGAATTAGTCAAAGCAGTTAGGCTTGGTGCATCAATGTCAGTATCTGAGCAACTGCTCACTTACCCCTCCCCTAATCCAATTCTAATCTTATTATGGTAGGGTAGGGGTAGGTGTGCAGTGGCTCAGATGTTGACATTGATCTGACTTAGTAATTTTATCTTGAAAATTACCAATGAAGGAGTTTCCACTCTTGAAAACATTTATTAACAACTTTCTGGTGGCTTGAAAGTAGTGGGGTAGCTTACTTTATTTCTGTCAGTGTGAAAATAAAATCAAGACCCTGCAGTCAAAGATTGTACTCAGTAGTGATGAGGATGATGGTGATCAACATGAAAGGGAAGATGTCAAGTCAGGAAGTGATGAGGATGATGATGAGGAGGAAACAACTTTGACGTCAAGAACAAAAAACTTTGCCAATCAGGTTATTTTTTAATTCTACTTTCTTCAAATTCCTTATATTGGCATTCCTGATATTTGTTATAAGATTTATGGACCAGGCAAATGAATTTTTTTTGTTGCAATGTTTTTGCATGGAAGACTGAGTTGTTCATCAAATGAGAAGCCTTAACTTTTGAAAACTGAAAACCACTCTAAGAAGGAAACATTTGATATGGCTTAAAAGATGCATGCTGATTTATTTAATCTTGACAAAGTCTGACTGATATTACCTTATGTTGTTATCTTATCATAACCTACAAATAAAATATTCTGACTCTTTTTTTTTAGGTTAATTGTGCAATCGTGGTTTCAGTGATAACAGTTAGTACTTTTCTCTATGTTTAGGTCTTGTTTTTCCTGACTGAAAGTGAGAGATTTCAGCAACCTGTGAAGATAAGAAAGTATGTTCAGAAGATTTCCCAAAAACAATTGTCCTGTTGCATTGTCTAAGACTGGTTCTATCTCAAGCTTAAAAAGATTCATGAAAAGGCTCCAGAAAGGGGTGGATGTTGTTTTCATGACCGATTTGTAATTTTGAACTATCAAGCCAATCAGCATTTCATTCACTTTGGAACACTGTTTTCTTTTTTATGTGCATAATTGCTCTGGTGATTGTGTACACTCTGATTCGGTGAGGATTCTGTTATATCTCACTATAATATGCTTAAGACATGATTAAAATACTGAAGTTTAAGTTCTAATTTGAAAGGTTTTTTTTCACATTTTTAAATAGAGTGCTTCAGCGTACATATCGACTTGCCTGTTTAAGGTCCACAACACCAGAGGAACTATATGCCAGGAAGGTGATTTATTCACTATCATTTACACTGATTTATTTTCAGTTTGAAGTTAACACACATTCAAAATAAAGAATAATCATATTCTCACATCTCGCCCATTCAATATAGATTGAGGATGAGGAGTATGGTGAAGCTCTTGTCCTTGCACAAACTTATGGACTGGACAGTGACTTGGTTTATCAGAAGCAGTGGAGGAAATCCCCTGTCTCAGTAGCTTCAATTCATGACTACTTGGTGGGTGATACAATGAAAACATGCCTCCTGTAGTAATTTTTTAAACAACTTCCTGTATGCATTAAGAGTATATGTTGAAAATCCTTCAATCCTTGAACTTCCAAGATCAGGTTATTAATTCTCCCCTCTGCTGGGGCTGCTACATATTTTGTTATAAACAAGTTATGAGAATTTACTGTTAGACCAGGATGACAACTTATACTTGATAAGTTTGAGTATTCTTATTACCTGTTTGCTGGATAGTGTATGGACATTGTAGGGAGAACTAACATTTTAATCACTTCTGGGAGTAAAGGGTTAATAGGGGGCACAGGCCACTTAGTGCAACATTAGGCTAAGACAGTGGACCTGTTCAAAGAGGAGTAGCTTAAAAATATTTGATTTTTCTCACTCTGTGGCCAATTTGTTTTGTATTTTGTAATGTGACATGTTTCCAAAAACAACCATTACAACCAGTTAGTTTTACCTGTAGGGTAAATAAGCGTGCTTAGTATATACACATTGTAAATATAATATCTATTTTCAACCTTTATGCATGGTGTGAAGCAAGCAGAAAGTATTTGTAAGGTGTAATAAAGGTGTTCTACATGCATGACATTTATTGGACATCACAGTTTTAGTACTATCTGCTGATGTCAGATGAAACATATGGTAAAATAAAATAACTTACTATTCTTTTTTGTGCACTGTTGCACACTGGTTATTAATATGTTGAAAAAACTTTTATTCACTCTAGAGTAAAGTGAAGAATCGACTATGGGTTCTTAACGAATGTGTGGAGAGAGTCCCAGAAACGTATGAGGCAACAAAACAGTTGCTGCTGTATGGTCTTCATGGAACAGATGCTAAGGTGGTGAAAGCTTTGGGTAACAAAAAGGGTCCTCTGCCATTTATTATAAAAACAAAGGAGGATGAAGAAGGTGAAGAGGATCAGGAGAAAAAAGATTTTCTGGAGTTTGAAAGGTATATCAAGTGAAAAATGCTTCATCAAGTGTACAGATATTCAAGGAGAAGCTAAGTCCTGAAGCTGTGTTAACTTTTACGTCAGCCATTGTAGTTGTAAGTTTATGACACCCATACACTTAATCCTTTAAACAAATCCATTGTATACGCTGGCTTATTTGATTAGTGGTGAGTGGAAATAAATTATGATAAAAGCTGGTTTTCATACTCAAAATGAAAGATCCACATTAATTATTAACCCATGACAATAAATTTTTCATTGGATTAATTCTGTTTAAATGTATCAAAGCTATGTAAAGAGATATTTTTCTTCACATTTTGCCATTGCTGCTGACCTTATCTGCTAAGGTTAAATCAGATGGAAGTGACAATTTTTAGCTCAATTTTTTTTAACAGTTTCAACCTGGAACAGAGAGACATCTGCATGTATCGCCTGAAGCTCCTTCAGTATCTTGACCGCCTCTCAACGTATGAGGATATCTTGGGTGGAGTTCACATAGCTCACGAGGAATACTGCCACACTTTCTTTGAGAGATTTAGAGAGTTGAACATTTTGCAAGCCGCTGTGGAGTATGCCAGGGTATGTTAATGCAGAGGAAAATGTACCAGAACATTATTACCTGTTGCTAATATAATAAGAAAATTGTAATTTCTTCTCTTGTCTCCTACCCACCTTTAGTGTAAAAATGTTTTAAAAGTTTTTATTTTTTACACCACAACAATGTTTTGTATTTACCTTTTGGGGAAGGTTATGGAATGAAGGCTTGGAGAAAACTGATTATTTAAATAAAGTTTAGGGGTTGTTTAACAAAAACACATCCTAAACAATCCTCAATTTAGCTGAATCTTTCACCTGAAAATTTTTTTTTGTGAACAATGTAAATATAAAGAGGGTGGAATGCTAATAGTCGAAGGACATTTAATATGTAATTAAATCAACCCTATTATAGAGAAAGCCTGAAGCCCACTGATTTCACTGATATTAATGTGTGACTCAAGGGTGTGATTGTCAGGGAGAAATTAGACGCTTATAACTTTTAGTGGTTGAAGGGTGAAGTGCAACTCTCTTGGTGACTTTTTATTACTTTAGGAGGGAAATTGGGAAGCTTTAGAAGTTATCTTCACATACCATGGCAAAGAGACAATTCCCCACTGGCTTGCAATTCTATCCAACTTTGATGAGACAATTCCTCCATCTGAATACAAAAGTCTTCTTCCGGAAGCAGGGTGAGTACTCTTGAACTCTTGAAAGGTTTGATAATGGATACATTAATTGTTACTTCCTCTCATATTAGAAATATTGGATAGTTACATTAAGTCAACATTAACCCTTAAACTTCCAGATGTGATTAATATATAACTTCCCCCTATGATATCCATACACTATTCAGTAAACAGGTATCGAGAAATAATCAAACCTATCTGGTAGAAGTTGTTATCTTGATCAAACACCAAATCCTTGTAACCAAGTTTTAGGGAAATGTGTGGCGGTTAGAAGGAAGAATTTATTCTCATTCAGATCTTGGGTTTAACTTAATAAACTTACCAGTGTAGTTTGTATGATTTTCAGTAGCATCTTTGATGATCTTTTTTAAGTTTAGGTCACCTAGTACATTTTATAACAAGATTCTGCAAAATTGTCAATGTGCTTTAATTTAGCGAAAGGAATTTTCTACTACATTCATTTAGGCTAACTTTTTTTCAGAATGTTGCCCCCATTCTTGTTCCTCCACAAGAACAGCCCTGAGGAGCTGCATAGGCTCCAGTCTCAAACAGTCACTTCTCTTCTGATTTTAAATATGTGCTCTTTTCGTTTAGTTTCTTACCAGAAGATCCAGAAGTTTTGGAATGGGATGAAAAGTCTTGGAGAGATACAGATTGGGTAGAGAATGCAGAGTGCAAAAAAATCTTAGGTTGGGATCATAGTGACAACTCAGCTGAATTTATTTACCTTGAAAACCCAGAATTACAACTGTACAGGTGAGTGTTTTGTGGTTGTGTAATTATCTGTTGTGCATAAGAAGTGTTATATTTTGATCAAATCATTACAGGAGAGCTGCATTAAGACCTAGCATTTGCATCTTAGGAAAATTCAGAAAGAAATGTTTATCTCCTCCATTATAAGAAGTCTTCATTTTCTTTTGGTCTACTCCAGCTTCCCTGTCTTCTGTTTTTTTCCTCCCATTCAATGAAAGTTTTCTATGTTCATACAAGTAAGTCAAAGAAACTCTCAGATAATTCTCAAAGCTAATTGGAAATTCCCCTTGATAACTGTTTAAGGTGTAAACTTACTTCAGATGTTGTGATGCAGTGGTACAGAAATAGAGCTTGTTTGATAGAACATCGCTCCAAGCAGGTAAAGTATACATGTAGCTGGTCTGGTGTAACTGTAGTACATGTAAAAGATTAAAAGGCTTGTGACTAAAACATCCCCTTCAATCTTTTGATCAGGAAATAACTTCTACAAGTGGTCGCTTTTTACATTTTGTACAGGTTATTTCTTGAATATGAGGTGTAACACTGCAGGAGTGCTTCCATAAATGAGCAAAACCTGATGGATGCTTGTGCCCTGTTGCAAACCTAGGGTAGATTTTTCAAGTCGTTATGTAGAGCTAAAAGACAAAGGCAGGATCAACAGAGAAACTTTTGAGAAATAGAGTTAACTTTGTCTTGCCGTCAGGCTAGAGTACTATTTATAGCCGCAAACGCTAATCACTTGTATTTCAAACTTTACTAGAACAAACTTGACACATTGTTGAATACAGTAACTGAAAATGACAAAATTACAAACACGCAAATGAGCAAATGAGTGAAAGTACTGGAAAACGACAAAGCGAAATAAACAAGGATACTTACAAGACGAATGTGGCCAAACCAAAGACGAAAACATGAAACCCAGAGCTAGATATGTAACGATAATTTTCGCAAACTAGACAACTAACTAAATAAATTACGCGCAACCAATATATATACGATATGCAAATAAATATAACAAGTACAAAACTGGTAACTGACAAAGGACACTAATGAAGATGAGAAAATAAACACCTAACACGAAACTATGAAACACCAACACTAACAAAAAATGATAATACAAATTCTTGCGCCTACACTATTATTGATAAACAACAGGCCACAGTTTTTTGAAGGGTGGATAATAATATCCACTAGATAAATCTCTATCCGGTGGATAGAACAGTAAGTTTCTTTGACACTTATCCACTGGATAGCGATTTATCCATTAAATAGTGTTATCCACCCTGTGAAGAACTGAGCCCTGAAGCTACAAGGGTAATAGCCCTTTTGAACATGATCTGGAATATTGCATCAATTATTCTGGATCACTTACACTATTTTGTAAAAACTGTCTGAAGGGGCTTTTGGAACTTATTATAATTTATCAATTATTAATGCATTATTATTATTATTATTAATGTATTTGGCTAATTGTTAAAATTTAGCACCAAACATTTTTAGGTTTTTGGGAGTCCATAGAAAATTGAATTCATGCCTTTTATCATTGATGTTTTTCTGAACAGGTGGATAACTCTTTGGAACTAATAAAGCTTGGAATGGAAAGAAGGATTAAGGTTGGTACACACAATGCCATTTTGTACTGTGTACATAATTATTATCTTTGTTAACTGAGTTGATTTGATGTGAAACACTGCCCTGTAGGGAAATGTAGGGAAATTAGCAGGGAGAAAAGTTAATTAGATCCTGGGATTTTAAGGGTTGACACAAAATATAGGGAACCAGTCAAGGAAATGGACAAATCACCTTTGTGGGGTGTGATCTTTGATGGATCAATCAATGAAGGAAACTAAGAATGCTCCTAGTGGCTATATTTCACCAAACCACAATAAGCTTAAAAGATATGCAAGCTAGTTGTGTCCTTTGGCATATAATATAATGCTCATGTTTACCTTCATATGAACACAACACAAAATAATTCTGGTGAGTTAATATCAGTTACTGTCTCTCTAGGGGCTTCAAGATCTTCATGATGATCTTGTGACACTTGAAGTGCTAATATATGAGGTAGGGCAAAGGCACGTCACTCCATGAGTATTACCAAAAACTCAGGGGTTGTAATAAGATTAGTATTTTTTTTTTCATTCTGTTCCAAACACCCTGTTCTAAATATTTTGTGCCCTATTTTTTTAATCAAATTTGAGTCAATGTTCCACGTGAGTTATGCCTAGCAAATCAACCAGTGTCAGATTTTTCTGAAATAGTAATCGTTTCCCAGAAGAAAATTACTTCTAAAATTTGTTTATTTCAGAGTTGCGCAGATGTGTATCTCAGTTTGGAGAATTTTCAAAGCATGAATGAACTGGAAAAGTTGAGGATGTTGTTGAAGAAGGTACATACAGTTTTAAGCTTGTCAGTGAGTTAGTGGGTGAATGAGCCAGTCAATCAGTTGGTCTGGCAGTGAGTCACTGAGTCATTCTGTGACTCCGTGAGTCAGTGAGTCAAAGTGTCAGTGAGTTGGCTAGTCAGTCAATCAGTGAGTCAGCAAGTCAGCAAATCAGTGAGTCAGTAAGTCAGTGTGTCAGAGAGTCAGAGAATCAGAGAATTAGAGAATCAGAGTCAAAGATTCAGAGAATCAGTGAGTCAGTGAGTCAGTGAGTCAGTGAGTCAGTGAGTCAGTGAGTCAGTGAGTCAGTGGGTCAGTGAGTCAGTGAGTCAGTAAGTCTCAGTCAGAGAGTCAGTAAGAGCCCTGTCAGTATGTGAACCATTGGCTTTGGTCTATATGATATGTGCAAATAATACAACTCAAAAGAAAAATCTTAATTCATCTCTTCACTTTAAAATTTTGTTTCTTAATGTAGTAGATGGCAGTAATATGTATCCATTTTAATTTTAAAGTCCACAGAGGAATCATTTATTGCTGACTTCAAGAGCTGGGTCCTTCCTTTTTTGCAACGTCTTGGAAGACACAAAAAGAAATCTCAAGTGAATCTGATCCATCACTATTTAACAGACATTGCCAAGGTTAGTGTAGGGTGACGATAAGTGAATTCTTCTCTATAGTACAAGAATGGGGGGATGTGGCCTTGTGGTTTTTGTGTGGGACTCTGAACTGAGAGGTCTGAATTTGAGTCTTTGTTGGATCAATGTATTTTGATCATGGCAAAGTCACTTTACTGTCACAGTACCTCTCTTTACTCAGGAAAAGAAATGGGTCCTTATTAACTGTCAGGGAGACCTGACCTTATCCTAGAGATAACCCTTCAATGTACCAGCATTCCATTCAAGAAGGAAACAATACTCCTACTTCTTGAATGCTATGGAAGTCAGGACAAGTTTGTGCTTAATTGGCCACCTTGCAGAGTATATCCCAAAAAATTATTAATTTTGCTCTTTTATGGTTATTTCTGCTCAAACATAAATTGTGACATCATTTGTCACAAAAAGCATGCACATGTAACGTGAGGAAAAATGTTCCTTCTAGTGAAGTCAGTGCAAGTTATTGACAGAAAATTTTTAGGGAGAAGAGTATTTTTGTATATAATAACAAACTGATATTACTGCTACTAATGACTAAATGCAACCGCTACTGCTTCTAACAGTAACTGCTGCTACCACTTTTAATCATTTCAGTTTTTTTTGGTTTTTTTTTTTTCACAGACTGACCTGACCTATGTGCTCAAAATCTTCCAGAATTCCACTGCAGAGGTAGGTTTAGGGACCATTTTGTGAAGGGTGTGGTTATTTCTGTGGCCATCTGCAGTACACAGGTACATTTTTAAGCTTGAGTATTAAGATATGCTGTAGACTTTACAGATGTGTAGTCTAAACTGTCAGGGTTCTCCTCTCCCCTGCCTATCTCCTGAGCTTTTTATTTTTTCAGGTGTTGGCCAAAGAGAGGGCTGATTTTTGTGTATTCCTCTAATTGGATTGAAATATCTTACTATTCCTATAGGGAATGTTTTTATTTTCTATTAATTATTAGATTTACATTAGTATTAGAGTCACTGTTAGTATTTTTATTAACAGCATATTTAATTGTAATTTAGAATTTAGAAAAGTCCTGATGTTCCACCCATGTTTAAACAAAGTTAAATCAATTAAATCAATCAATCAATCAATTTGAATGAATGTGCACCCTTTTTTTTAAACAGTTTTTTGACACCAACTTATCAATAGTTTTTTTTTTAAATATATTCTGCCCTAATGTAAGGATCAAATTGGGGCTGTCTTTTATGAAACTATCCCCTATAGTTGTTGGACTGAAGTATAAACATGTCCCATGAACAACTGTCTGTATCTGATGATGCATTTTCAAATCAGAGTGATTTGATTTGCTTATAGATCAAAGAACCTATCATAGCAGATGTAGCTGAACAGATGAAACTTGCACTGGATTGCATTTATATCACAAAAAGGTTTGCAAGTACAATTATTATTAATAGCTGTAATAGGGATTCCAGAAAAAAAAATTCAGACATTTAAGATATCCAGCAGTTTTAATTAAGATGATATCTCCTTTGCTTAAATTAAAATTCTGCATGTTACATCAGAAGCTGGGAAAAATTCTTTGTTCCAATCATTTGCACATAATCACCTGTTGGACAACCAAGCTTAGTGTTTATCAGTTAAAGTATAATCATATGGAAATGAAGACGTACAACATAACAATGCTCAGATAAATGGATATTTGTTTAAGGTATTTTGGTCAAACTGAAAAGTGTGTAATCAAGTGACTTAAAGTGTGCAAACTCAAACCTTTAGCACTGAGAAGCGAGAATGCTTAAGACAATGTGCATAATTGGAGGATGTAGGAAAATGCATGCATGGCCTCTTTAATTACATCCGTACTAAGCAAAAAAACTGGAAAAATGATTCCTATTTTGGGCATGGTATATTAATTTCTCAGCTTGCAAACTTGCAAAATACACATTTAGCCTAAGCATATAGAGACATCCTTGTATTGAGCCTGTTCTAATATGTTTCAGTTTGTCAGTTGTTCTCAATTCTTTTTTTTTTTTTTTTTTGCTCTTTTAAAGTCATGTTTTAAGATTATGCTTTTTTTAACAGGTTTGATCAGCTGGATTTGGCCTTTAGCATACTGGAATGTCTTCCAGACAGCAATGAGGAGTAAGTCCTATCAGAAAATAACCATCTTCTATTAAAATTTGTTAGATTCCTTTTACCTCTTTCATATAGTGGCCTTAATTAATTTTATTCTTTCTCTTATTAAGATGTAAGTTAGCTCTAGTGTCAGCCTTGTTTTGACTAAAAATTTTATTATTTCAAGGCCTTAGATATGAGACATAACAATTAGGACCACCATTTCTGGAAGAAGTGTAGTTGGCATATATGTTGTATGCAGGATGTAGAGTTTTAACCCAGGAACAAAAAATGGCTTCCAAAATTTGATCATGTCTATTCATGTGTACTTCAAGGTTTTAACATCTTCAACACAGTTTGCTGCTATTTCCATCCAAATTTTAAAATGTTCGTCATATTTTTCCAAGTGACTGCTCTGTATACTGGTTTATATACTTAGGTAATTGTTATTGGCCGTTTTACAGTGTTCTTTCAGATCAGATCCGAGAGTTAAACAAAAAAGTTGATCGACTGGAGGTTTACTTGTGGTAAGCTTTTCATTAGTTTAGCAGAATTCATAATTCCAACTTTGCGTCTGTAGACATGGACACAAATTTTCTGTGCTAAACAGAGCTGAAGTTGTAATTGATTTTATCTTGTAGTGCCTGTGAAACTCTAGCAAAACATGGTCTTGAAAAGCCAGTGTCATTTGTCCTTGACACCCATGTAAGTTACTTTAACTTTGGAAGTTAATATAATTGTGGCAGGCTTCACATTTTAAAGCTAAATAAAAAGAGCTCTGATGTTCCTTTCCATTTTTTTGTGAGTCATCATTTGTTTTCTTAGTGTTTGTTTGCCCATGTACACAGAATAACTCAGAAGAAGCCAGATCACTCATGGTAGACATAACAAAGGCTGCAGCCAAAAAGTGAGTTAGAGACAGTTTTTCTATTTTAGAGCTTGTTTTACCTTGACAAAACAATCATTTTGGCACAATCTGTGGCTCACAAGGCTAGCATTTCCTTTCACAGATAACTGGAAAATGAGCAACAGTCTTTGTAAACTTCTTGTCAATCTTACAGAAGGAATATATAGTATATGGAATTTGTGGCAAAAAGTGTTTTATGCTGTCATTAGGAACCTATGCCTGCACCTTAAGACTGTAATTGTTTTACAGGAGTCCACCATTAAAGGAAGCTCAGTGGATTAGACTTCTCGGTGACATGTTGACCCTTCAGAAAGAAGTTTACACCTGCATTGAACCATCAGTTTGTTATGAGGTTAGGATATGTTATTATTTGTGAGGTTGAAGACTGCTACAAATCAGGCTGCTGTTATTCTGTACTTTTTAGTTGAAAATGCTTTCAAATGTTGTTTAAAGTATTATTGTGTTTGCCAATTGTTTAAAAGACTACCTCTAAATTTGTTTCCTTTTTTTGGCTTATTATTTTCATATTTTTGAGATACCCCTAGTTCTTTCAATTTTCAAATTTTTGTTTTTAGCAACTTTGTACAAGAAAGATATCATTTGCAAGACTCTTTCAACTTTGATTAGCTTGTACAGTGTATTTTAATTCTTATAATTGGTGGGTGTGGATGGTATCCCAAACCTTTTTGGTGTTCTTGCCCCATTTTATAGTGTTATTTAAAAACAGATAAACAGTGTAATGTAATCTATTTACAAACATGACGTTATTAAAATCGCTGATATTAGCAGTTAAGTTAGCAGTACTGTCTGCGGGATGCGTGTCATGTAAACTTTGTAATGGCATGGCTCAGTGGTAGAGCATTGCAGTGCAAGATCCGATGGTCTGCAGCTGAATTCCTCACAGGGACTCAGAATTTTTTTCTTTGTCTCACACTCATGACAACACAAAAAAAACATCTTTCACTATTTCTTTTGATTTCTGTTTTTTTTTTTTTTTTTTTGTTTTCTTTATTCTTATTAGGCCTAAATTATGGTTTTGGGGGTTTAAAGTAATTGTGGGATTGTGTATTTACTTAAAATAAATAGTGTTACTTTTTGAGATGATCCTTATTTGACCCTAACAATAATATTTATTGGGCTGAAAGCTTCCGCTTGTCATTTTTAGCCACCACTATTTAGGTAAAAATCAACTTCACACAACTATTTAAATCTTCAAGATCTACACAGAAACACTTCTACATTCTGGCAGACGAGAGTGTATCCAGCTTGCAGGGCAGATGATCTGTAAGACAACTAAGGAGGATGACTATCCAGAGCCCACTGACCCTGTTGCTGGTCCTCGGATCAAGTGTTCCAGGGGCATAGAGCTTGTTTTAGATGCTTCCAAAGAGTATTTTGACTCCTCAGCTGATCTGACAGACAAGGCCATGGATCTTGCAAGGGACTGTTTAAATCTTACTGATGATCGGTCAGCAGCTCTACAGGAAGAGTACAATTTGATTGCTGCCTTGGCACTGCTAGATGATTTTGGTATTACAATTCTTCCTTTGCAAGGTATGTGATAGAGACTGTTGGGTCTCTTCAGTGTGGTTTTCCTACTACAGGGTTTCAGACCTTTGTATAGTTTTGCTAACAGTCTTGTTAACCAATATTCATTGTTAAGAAACCTAGATTTTGGGTCTGAATTGAATTATTTTGAAACACAAAAAGAATAAATGTTGTCAGTTTTTCTTATTTTTTTGATAGCATGATAGAGACTTAGCTTGTACAGTAATTTGTACATTACCAATAATAAAATTTTCCAATATGTTCTTGTCACCACGCTTCTTCCTCCATCTTTTTTTGTGTGAAATCTTTAAATTTGTAGTTTACTGAAAAAGTTTGTTCAGTTAAGCTACCTCTGAATTTTAGAGTGATCAAACATTATGAACTATTAATCATTATGTACATAATTAATTATTTATTATTAATTGTTAATCAATTAATTAACTATTAAAGAATGAAACTTTTTTACTCAAGAGCAAAGAAGAGCTGAATTAAATGTCATGGTTTTTCATGTGTCTTGTTAACAGGTTGCCCTGTTCTATTTTTCATCTTATAAAGAGGTCATCTCTGTTGACCTTATGACTCTCAAAATTTTTGAACATTTAAACTCTCCTTACAGTATCAAAATATTGTTCTGAAAGTGTTTGACAATAATGGAAATATGTATTATTTCATAGGTTTTATCCTACCATCAGGATAGCACCAGTTTATATCATTTTCTTACTTTACATGCAAAAATATGTGACAGATTGTAAGGAAAGTTAAAGACAAGATATTGGAAGTTGAAAGTCCTACTTGCCTTTCTACTGTATTTTGTAGTGCGTTTGTGTGAAGATAAACTCACCCTGGTCAGACAAGTGTTACAATCATCAACCACAGCCTATAAAAAGAAGCAAAAGGTAAATTTTTTTTCTCTCATAAGCAAATAATACTCTAAAAATTTTTCACTCAATAGAAACACTTTTTGTTAATCTTATTAAATTTTTCTTCTGCTGAACCAGATACTACGTTTAGCAAGCCTTCTTCAGATCTCAGGCTCAGATGAAAAATTGCGGCATGGCCGTGTGCTCATGTTGACTGCTGAGTCTGCCATTCAGGCTTCTGACTACTCTTTTGCATGTGCAATATGCCAAAGTCTAATGTCAGAGGACTACAGCCCTGTATGGACCATCTGCAGGTAAATGCACCTTTTTAATTTGTGATTTTTAAATACATTATTTTATAATTATTCTGCAGAGTTGGATTGCTACCATATTTGTGGAACTCTCCCTGATTTTACAGCAGCTTGAAATTTGAGACTAGAGCAACCTTGCTGTGCTGCAAGACCAATAATTACAAATTCATAACCATATGTTATCTCTAGATTAAGTACTTTATATGCACAAGGTTGCCATAGGTATTCTTTGAATTAATGCTGTTAGTAGTGACTAACACTTTCCAGTGAACACCAAATTAAATTATTGATATTTCTTTTCGATGATTTCATTAAAGAAAACCTAAGATGGTAGAAATTTTAAAGTTTTCATGAATATGATGTCATGTATTATGAAGTTTTGTTTGGGAAATAGGGAAACAGTGACAGAAATTTTTGAAAACTGTAAATAAATACATGTCAAGTGGCATTTGTGCTAGAAGGTACAATTTGGCTTGTATAACTTTATAGCATTGCCATTTTCCTTGTTGACAATAGCTCTGTTGTTTGAGTGAGTCCTAAGGGGATCATGCAGATGATAGTGGCAAGGGTAACATGTTATAACATGCTATAGGATCCAACATGGTGACACACACAGAATTCCTTTTTGAAAACTGGCCACACTGCATGTATTCTTTATTGTATGCTACATACATTGTATTATCATGCAATCTTTAGGATTTTTTTTGTGGTGAGTAAATGTCACTTTAGATTTTTTTGAAGGAGTATCTCTTTTCATGTATCAGGGTTCTTGGAGAATGTGAAGAGTATAAAGACCTTAAAGCAAGGTAGGTATTATTTATAGGTACTAAACAAACATTTAATGAAGAGAAGGAGAAGAGTACACACTGAACATCTTCTGACTAGCAATGATTTAATTTTGATACTATTGATTGATAATTTCCAGTTGAAAAATTATGGTGTCTCATGGAAAGTGAAAAGGTGGAAATATAGTAGAGGGTTTTTTCAGTGTTAATTTTTCTTTCAAGGCAAAGCCTTCTAGCATTTGCCCTTACCCACTGCATACCAGATGAGTTGGAATCTCTCCTTAAATCCAGAAGTCTCTTAGAAACACAGGTAATATTAACCATTTTGTTATTAATTTTTGTAGATTTATGAATTTTACTTCAAAACATACCTTTACAGTCACCTGCACACTGTTAGCAACATGGAGATAGTTTACATTGTCTTTTCTTAGTACAGAATTGGTTCTTTCTCCTTTTTCTAAATAATTAATTCGTCCTTGTCTTGCATGACAGATTTTGTATCAGGAGTTAAATCAGCACATGCAAGTGACAGATCAGGTGAAACAAATTATTATCTTGCTTAATACAATCAGGCACTTTTTTGTCTTCAAGAGAATACTCACAGTTGCAAATAATGGGCCAGGATGGTCAGAGAAAGCAGTAAATTTAAGAGCTTATGTCCTAAATTAAAATGGCTCTTGTTAGTACCCACCAACTTGATACCCTGATATCCACTGGCATATAGGGCTGAATCAAAATTCTTATGGTCCTGCTCTTATTTTACTCAAGTTTTGTTTCAGATAAGCTCCCGTTCCACAGTTCTCTTATGGGTATTTTGGGTTGTCTGCTCTCCTTTTCCCTTTCTGATGTCCAGACATGTGATGCTAATTGGAGTTTGAGCTGTGGAAAAAAAATTAAAAATCTCAACTAATCTTCCAGCTGATATTTTCTATCAAAGGAAATAAACAGGTTTTTTTTTCATATTTCATGCATGCAGCATGTGCTTTAATTTCTTACCGATTAGTAATTAAATAATAAATTTTTTTGTAGGAAAAGGAGGAGCCTTCTTCAGATCAGAGTCTCTTGACACAATCTAAATCCTTGCTGTCAGCTGTAGGTGACAAGAAATTCTGGAAGAGCACTATGAAATGGATCAGACCACTTCAGGATGAACAGATGACATTGTCTAACAGTGAACTAATCAAACCCGTCTCACAGGATGTAAACACACACCGATTTCACCCTTTCTACCAGTCACTGGTGGAAAGAAATTTTACAAGAATGAAAGGGGTTAGTGCAGTAAGGCAAATATATTTGTACCTCGGAGAGACATTTGAAATATATGGTGGCTGAGCTATCTCTGCACTGGCGCTTCAGAGAAAGAGAACACCTAGCAGGACTACTTTTTACGCAGTGTGGTTATGGCAACGGGGGAGACTGAAGCACCTGCATTGATGGGTCACTTGACTTTGAAATAATTCCTGTTTTCACGAAAATTCAATTCATACAAGGCAGAAACAGAGTTGAGATTTTTGCCTCTTAAGGTCAAATATTCACATTGTTTTAGTTTAGGTTCTCTTAAAAATGAGTGTCTATTTGGGATGGAGAACTGTGAAGATATTAAAAAAAGAAAAAACAAAAAAAGAAATGAAAAGAGTGATTTGCAAAGCCAGCAAACAGTAATATCAATCATGTCACATACAACATTGCTTGATCTGATTTCAGGATAAATTGCCATATGAGGAACACATTGCAAAACAGATGGCAAACAAGCCTCTGCTTTTCAGTCGTTGTTTATTAAGGACACAAAAACTGTCTGAGAGCAGATGCGAAGGAGAGATTGTTGAGCCTACCAATGAAGGTATGTGCAGATGTTCAGTACTACATTGATGACAAGTAAACCTTTATTCCTTTATTTTGTTGTTACTGGTTTGTTTCTACTTTTATATTACTGGAAATTTTGAAACATAATTTTTAATTTTAACACTTTAAAATCCAGTGTTAAACACACTTCAAAATTGGACTTATTTAGATCTGTGCAAAAATTTATAATATTTTATGAGGTATAAGTTTGCAACTTTTGACATATTTTTTCCTTGGATAATAATTATGTATTTCACATTTAATCATAGTCACATGTTGATGTAATTTGCAGAATACATGCCATTAATTATTTTAATAATAATTGTTATAATTGTTTTTCTATTATCATTATTATTATTACTTACAGTTCTAATAAAGTTGGTAGAGTCAATTTTAGAAGAAGACACTACTCTTGGGATAGCATATTTACTGGCACTACATGAGGTTAGTAAGAGACCCCATGGAGTCAATCAATCAGTGATTTGATGCCAAGATTTTGCTAGTACAATTGAAAAATCTTATCAATAATTAATAGCTCCCATGATAGAAATAAATCATACCTTAAGCAGCTCCTAGTAGCCTAATCAAAGTCTTCTTACTTATGTTTTGCTTTTCCAAACTCAGTATGGTGAGTTTTTGACCCTGAAACAACCTTTTTTTCTGTAAACCTACGTCTATCAAGTTTATATGAGAAATGGAGTACATACAAAACATTATGCAGTTCAGCAAGCACTTCACCCCTAACAGAGCTTCAACATGTACCATAACATATCAAATGAATGAACTTTTTCATTAAATTCCAGGCATCAGAAGTGAATGAATTTTTCAGCAGATTTGGTGATAGTTACCTGTGTCTTCACATGGCAGCATACTGCTTTGCTGTTAGCATCTACAACATCATTCAGCCCTCACTATCAACTCATCAGGCTGATGTTTACCATCACTTGCCTTCTGACATCACTGATCATGTCATGAGTCACATTACTGCTGGTCTGCACAATAATTGGCCTAAAAAGTCCCAGGACTTTGCAAATTTTCTGGTCCGCTATCACAACCACATGGCTGACTTTGCCCAGGGACAACTGCTCCAGAGCCTGGGAAAGGGTATGTTAATGTAATCAATTAATCAAACATGTTCTCCAAGGTGTGACCATTTTATACCCCAGTGTAAGCAGATAAGTACATTATTTAGCAACTAAATTGGCCATGAAAATTGCCTTTCAGTCTACAATTGCCTGCCATACATAGGCCAACTGAACAATCATACTTAATTGAAAGACAAGCATTGTAGTCAGTGGCTTGATAGCTCATGTAATATAACATGATTTCCCCTCAGTATGCTACAATTTTACTCTTGGTGATCATTTTATGGACTGTTATCTAGGGTGACTTTGAAAATGTTGAGCTTAGAATCCCGATAATGAAGTAAGACTCAGGGGCAGATCCAGGATTTTTCTTGGGAGGGGTGCAACATTTAGGAATGGAATACAGTAACTGAGGGTGACATTAACAAAATTTGAAAATCAAAGAACTAAGGTGAAGGCTTATGACTAAACAATAACGTAAAGTGAGCTGCTGAGATTACATAGCAAACTTTACAGCAGATTTTGTATAACAATACTGTGAAGTTGTTTTAGAAAGCTGCACGTCATCTTGGTGGAAAGGGTTGGGTGCACACTTCTTGCACCTTAGAGAATGGTTTGACAATTTGGTTCAGGCCAGTGTTGAATGATTTAATATTTAATTCAACTTGCAGGAGTTGACATCGGTCGTTTTGCACAAGATCCAGAGTACAAGCAAGAGACCATCCTGGGATTGGCCATGTGAGTTTTGTTCAACATTTGGTACAAGTGAGAAAGTAAAATACTTGGTTAAAGGGGAGGATGCACTAAGGGTCATACTGAACAATTTGAATTGGTTTTGTTTAATTATTTTTATTAGTGGAAAAGAATTAGTCACAAAAACTTGTTTAGGAAGTAATTAATAACCTTAAAGCAGGCTGTGCTAGACTGACCTGTAGTAGCAAGTGGTTGCTGGTGCATCTGTACAACACAAGCCTAGTGTGAAAGAATGCACAATAAAACCTTTACACCCTTACATCAGTATGCATATCCTTTATACTGTTCTCTGTACATATCCTAAGGTGATTACAGGGAGAACTTGTTTCATCATCATGAGCCTCTTTTGCTGGTGTTCATTTCCCTTATTTATGTGTGATTCAGGAGTGATATTGTAAGGAGAGGTTTTACACAAATCAAGTGAAGAAAAATGTAATGAAGAGAAAGCAAACCAGCAAACTATACTATCATTACATTAATTGTTTCGCTGAGTTTGTTCTTCATGAAAGTAATTCATTTATTGGTTTTTTTCTTGCAGGGCACTTGAGGAAGAAGTTTTTAACACGGCAATGTCTTTAGCTGAGCGTTATAATGTGTCCAAATGGGAGATGTTTATGACCCATTTGGAAAGTCTCTTCTCAGACAGCAAGTATGTCAAAATGGAATGATTCAGAAACAAAATAATGAACATGAGTACTCCTTGAATTACTCTGTAAGTATACGGTTCATTAATGTGTCATTAAGCACCTTTAATTTTTTTTTCAGCCTGTCAACGAAAGAAATTCAAGAAAGAGTTAATAAACTTGAAATCATGAACACCTTACTTCAGGATCCAAGCAAAGTGAGTGTTTGCTTACTTGTAACTTTAATTAATCTTAAGTGGTATTGTTTTAGGGAATGGGTCATGGAATTTAAGGTAGGTGTTTGGGATGGCAATCTCTCACGGCAAAATCACAGCACATGGCAAATAAATTAGGAGGATTCGGTGACACTTTCAGTGATTCCTTTATGCATATTTGATCAAGTTATAACTTTTACTTATGGGTACCTACTTACCATGCATGCCCCTTACTAACTGATTTCAAGGTCCACACTCTAAATTACAGACTGACCAAGTTTTCTCAGCTCAGATTTATAACCAATTTGGGAAAAGTGTGCAGGCCATAAAACTGAGCAGAAAAACTGGTTCTGTATTTTACAGTTTGGACTGAGAAAAAAAAGGGTGGTAAGATATTTTATTTATTATATAAACACCAATAAAATACTAAGTGAGTTTTTGGGCAATAATGTGATCTCTTCACACATGAAGATAGCATGTTATCTTCACCAATGAAAAGATCACTATGTTGCTATGCCTTTGTTACCAGATGCCACATTCAAAAGCTTAATGCACTTGTTTGTGCCACACAGAACAAAATCTCCCACAGAGACCACAGCAACTGATATGCTTTGCAAAAAAAACAATGCACGGCATTGACAAGAGTTGACTAACCTGGGTCTAACTATGCAGAAAGGTAGTTTAAATTAACCAAAAAAAATTAGCCCAAAAAAGCAGCCACATCACGATTTTTTCTGTAACCCAGTTAACTCTTATTGATTAAGTAGTTAATTTGTCTAGTGTGGCCACAACCATGATTGTGATACACATTTTAGTGCAATGCAAAATCTTGCAAGTTAAAATTGTCAATATCCTATCTCTCTTTGTCTTTAAGGTACTGGAACGAATGCAAGAGAACGTGTATGTGACTATTGATGGCACCAAACATGCCAGGTTAATTTACTACTATATGTTGCTGGAACAGTGTGAGGACAAAGATAACACCTTGAGGGTATGTTGCTAATTAGCAACACTTTTTTTCCAAAGCTTCCATAACTTTTGATAGTCTCTCCCTTTCAACATTACCCCTATAATGTTACAATGGACAAAATGCTTTACAAAATGTGTGATAATCTAAGAAGAAATTCACTTAAGATGCTCTTCACTCTAAGTGGTCAAAAGGTTAAGGAACTGTTCAGTATGTAATCATAAAAGTTACAATTTCCTCAATTGTGATTGGTTTAAAAACTCCTATTTTCCACCAATTCACTTGCCAAGTTGTTATTGGGCAGTTTGTTAGTGCACAGTTTGTTATCGGACAGTTCAATAAACCAATCACATTCAAATTTGTATTTTGAATTAACCAATTGCATTCAAAGTTGTAGTTTAAATCAACCAATCACAACCTTGGTTTTAATCACCATAAATGATCACCATCAACCATTGAACCATGAAAATTGTAATATTTTTTATGATTAATTGGTACTAGGACTTCATGTCATCCAATTTTGCTGTAATCATACTTGTGACAAACAAATTGGACTTCTGGTGCGCAGTTACTTGTATTGGATTTGTCACTCGTATGATTACAGACCGAATTGGACTCCACTCAGTCCTATTACCTTTTAAGTAGAGAGCTACACAGAATTGATTTACATATTATCTGGTTGCAGGATAAGATAGATGCTCAGTCTCATCTCAGAATACTGAAGAAGATAAAACCTGCTGCTCCTAGTAAGCTTTGTGACTCAGAGTGTTCATGTTCTTATTTTCATTAGGCCATTTTGCATTGATGATCTGTCTGACTAAAGATCACCTGGTCCACCATATTGATGAAGAGTCCAGCACATTTCCTGCTCCTAGTGCTGCACCCATGTTTTGTGAAGAATACTAGACACCAGTTCCACAGAAATTTCTAACATTGCTCAAAGACTGTTTATTTTCACAGGTCTGGATTATAAACAACTCACAACAGCAGACTCACCTCTTCAGGTGTTGAAGCCTGTGCTGACAGAAGCCAATTTTAATTTGTTGGCAAAGCTAGCAACAAAGATCCCCACTAAGGTAAGTTTTGTTAGACAGAATGGAATAAGAGGGAACTGAACTTACAATAAGTGCTGTTTTGCCCAGACTAGTTTTGCTCTTTATCCTCTCTATTAAGAAGTGTGCATAAATCTTTGGTTGTTTATTACATGAGCATGTGTATACAATGTTCATTTAAGTTCTCAGATAGATTATTAAGTAAGTTGGCGATGAAAGTAACTAACTTTTTATGTTCAAAGCTGATTGTTTATGGTTCTGCTCTCCATGGGAGTACATTTACATAAAAAAAGCAATCTCACAAAACAATTTTTTTGTAGTTGGAAAGTAATCTTTTATTTGATCCACCATCTCACTCTTCTTATGTAGGAAACATTATCTGTTGGATACTGCTTCAAGAAAAGCCTGAGTTTGATTTTCTCACAAGTAATAAATTCTCATATTACAGGACGGCAGCTCTCTAGAATCATCAAGTGTGTACAGAGTCTATGTGGAGAAACTCTTTTGGGAAGGAGAACGCAAGGGTAAAGAAAGTGAAGCAGATCAACCAGTAGGTGTTCAAGGAATAGAATATATATTTGTATATTGTTTGAGTAGAGACATCCCTCATACCTTCTTCTTCAAGAGATGAAAAAAAGTAATCTCACCTTTCAGTATTCCTACAAGGTGATGACAAGAAACAAAATATCAACCACGATATTGTTCAATCTAAAACCAAATTCTCATTGTTAAAATTTAAAGAAATGTATGACAGGCAATTCAGAGAATTGATATTAAGATCTTTTAACTGACCAGTTCAGGTACAGACCATTTCTCAAATTTTGCCATCAGTTGCCTGATATACAACTGAAAATAACAGTTTGGGTTTGGGCCAGCTGACTACTGAGAAATGTGATATGTTAACACTTGACACTCTAATATAAATATGTATATGTCCGTACTGTTTTCTTGACATTTTCTTAAAAATGCCAACAAGAAGAATTTGTTTAATGATCAATTGGTTCCCTCGTTGCTGATTATATCTATTTTCTCATGGTCTTGATGTGTGATTCAAAGGTGATTTGTGAGAAGATGTTAACTGCAAGTCACTCTTGGGGGTCAGAGGGTTAAGGTGAATGGGAATTTCAGTTAGTGAGATTCGAGTGAGGCTAGTGTTACTCTATTGAATGTTGTTAAATAATTTGTGGCAGGTTGACTGGTCTCAGCGTTATGATGTTTGTCACAAACAGCTACCTCGCCTGTCAGCTCAAGGCATTCAACAATTTGTTGATTCTATAACATTCAGTGAGTTAGCTGTGGACACCATACCAGTTGAAAACAGGGTAGAAATTGTGAATAGAGCCTTGAGATTTGCTCGACAACAAGATGCTGCTCTGAAGAAAAAGGGAATCAGTGAAAGCCAGGAAGAAAGGTACAAGCTGTTTGTTGTTGAATTGAATATAGGGTTAGATTTATCTGATGTTGTTATGGAATTGTGGCTTGGTAGTTTGCATAGTAGTTTTAGAACAAAACATCACAGTTATCACTGTACAGAGTCTGCACCAAAAAAGGCAAAATGGTTCTGTTTTCTTTTGTTATTTTCAGAGGTTCAGGATAATAGGTTATAAATTTTCATCCCATAGAATTCTCCGCTCTTTTGATTCTCTGAGAATTAGCAGAACAGATAGGAAAAAGCACTTCACACATACACATCCATTCTGACAATGACTGAGATCATTGATATTTTTTTTAACTTTTGTTGTCAGAGAACACTATTGTAAGTTACTCCTATTTGATGTTGGGTTTTGTTTACTTACCTTTTCTGAAGAGGCATGTGACATAACAGGTTTCAAACTGATGAAATATTTTTTATTGTAGCGCTCTTGGGCAGAATGTTACCTTTGAGCAAGTCATCACCCATTTGGAACAGTCTTGTAGACACCTTGAGTCCCTTGCTGATCCCCTTATTTATGAACTGACAGAGCATGATGAGGTGTGTTGTTGTTCAAACATTCAGTTTTAATAATGGGAATAGTCAGTAATTGCAGTTTAATTTGCCAGCAAAGCTTCAACTGAAGTTCCACTGTGCAAATTTTATTGAAAGATGACATCATTTTGAATGCATTAGGTAGCATCATACTTTTCAGTCAACTGGCAAGAAAACAAGTTACATAGCAAAGATAATGGATTTCTTGCTGTTAAAATTGTTTCGTTTAAGTTTTTTATTCCCAATTTTTTAATATTTGTTATTTTATTTATTTTTAAAAGCTAGTGACATATTTCCAACATAAACACGTGACATAAGAGTGCCCACAATACATGCATTTTTTTAAGATTCATTTTTTTCTGTGGCTACAGATATTTAATGCTTTTTTTGTTTATTCTTGTTTTAACAAATGCTTGTGATCTGGACCTGTTTTCCTTGCAGGATATAGGTACAAGCTATGCTCGCCTGTTTGCATTGTCCCGCTCTGAACCACATGAGATTTGTGAGCTAGTGTCACTCATGCTGATAGGAGGTGCATCTTTGGACACCATCAATGAGCTCCTTTTGCTGGCATCTCGCCAAAAACCACAGACAGGCAGAGTGGGAAAGACAGTACAGCAAACCCTTAAAGTTGTACTGGAATCTTTCAGGTTAGTTTTTCAGATTATAATTATAGTGTGGGAGCAGGGGCAGTCTTGGGAAAGGGAGCAGGGGGTGTGCACCTGCCTGCTTGGGATGACCTACAGCTTTCTAATATAACTTCACAGTCATAGAAAATCTAATGAATCATTTACAGTGTTTTCTTAGCAGGTTACATTATGTTATAGCCTAATCATAAGCCTTCTTCTTTGCTATTCTCTTTTAAGATTTGTTAGAAACTCTTTAACAATGGCCAATTTACATTATTAACCCAGTTGACAAAACCAAATTATCTCTACAATAGCTTCAACGATGCAACTTCACAGTTTTTTTGGAAACTTACTCATTATGTATTCCTCAAATGACTTACATGTTTGCTAAGAAAGTGACATATTTCATGTTATACAGTGAGTTGGCTGAATTGTATGGCTTGCAACATTGTGATGTGATTTAATTTGCTTTTTGTTCTTAGTGAAACAAAAAACTCTTCTCATCCCTGGCTTAGTGACAAGAAACCCATAGATGTTTTACAGACAATTCTTCAGACAGTAAGCATGCATATTGAAAAGGGAGGGACGATGACCAATCAAGAGGATGTCTTGGAGTGTTTACGACCATTCTGTGCAGATGTAACTGTGTCTGCTGCAATAAAGACCACAGTTCTTCAGTTGATGGAAGAATCATTTGACCTAAGTGGAGAAGACACGTTTCTTTTGTTATTTTATCAAACTGATGCCATTGTGTCATCGACATGGAACAGAAAGGTAACATACGCCACTGAGGATTTCATGAGTAAATTTGCTCCTTTATATGTTGGTGATATTTTAACAGGTGGGCCCAGTTCAGTTCTAAAGTCAGTTTTATTGGGATCCTGTTTAAACAATAAAAAGGCCAGACCACAATAGTGGGAGCTACATTCCCTACTCTTTGTAAGAAGAGCAGGGATTCTTTAATTTCCCCTGCCAACCAGTTCAGAGAACATGCAAGAGAGGGGCTTATATGCTTTATCACCCTTATCCAAGAAGACTGGAATATCATACGATGTTGCACAGCACATTCTCCTCAATTTTTTTCTAGACTCGAGTTTTGGTCTGTTCCAGGGCTTGAACTCTCAACCTTTCACACAACAGTGCAGCACTCTACAATATGAACTAACCAAGTGCAGCTCAATTAACTAGTTAACACCATTTGTATTATTGCTAGTTATCCTGTGACTTGTTATCTGTTAATGCAGATTGTCCCACTAGGTTTTAAAGTATTTCTGTTGTGTTGCTATAATTAAGATATGTTACAAGTAACACATTGTTCTCTTGCAAGTAATTAAAGTCATTGCAAAAAGGGAAATCTTTACAAATCCAGGCTTCAAAAAGAAAAGAACCTCTGCCTCCCTGATACTGGTTGGCTGCCACTACTAACTGAGTTATGGCGCCACTAGCCTTTTTGGGAGTTTTGGAAACTTCAACTGCTTTTTCTTCCTACAAAGGAATTCAATCACAAATAGCACATCTGAAATAATACAGATCAGGTTACTATACAAAGACATCTTTTTTTTCACTCCACAGTTAAAAGTTGCTGGTCACAAAATGGTTGTTGGCAAAATAACAAGGAAGACCCAGTAAACAACACTTTTTAAGCATCACATACAAAGTGATCAGTAAACATAACTGACTAATTTTTATTTCTTATTTCATGTATGTCTTGGTACAGCTTACACTGGAAGACATTGATAGTGACACAAAGAGGCACCAACTGTTTGAGACTCTTTTGAGTGAAAGCCTCTCCCTCTCACAGCTGCTTTGTTTGGGAACCCTCTTGCAGATATGGCCTGTGCTTGCAGCTACAGAACTCAAGTAAGAGATCAGGCTGAGGTTTTTTTGACATCCTTTTGTTTTCCAATAAGTTATGTGTATCTTGCAGAGATTTTTTGTTAAAAAAGAAATTGTCATATTTCAGCGAGGAGCCATCAGCAAACCCTTGGGTGCAACTCATGGACAAAATAATTCGATGTCATGGTGATGGAGAGAGTGTGATTGACATGTTAAAACAGCTGTGCCGTACAACAAGTCTCAATGTAGAGGTACAGCTGTAGACACTTTCTTAGTGGAATTAATGATTTTGTGGAAAAATTTTTTGCTCAAATTAAGTCCAATCTTGTGAGGCATGTTGCAGTTGAATTGCCACACACCTTAAAATGAAATATTACAGACGCTTTGTGTAGCATGTCACCTTTGCTTATCATGGTATTATGGTGAAATTTTATTTTCAGTGCTGCTCTCATGTGTACAATCTGATGTTGCTCCAGTGCAAAACCCTCTATGCATTGAAGTTTGCCTTGGTTTCAAAGATGGAAGCTATGCACCACTTGGCAATAGAAAACATGAAGAGTCTTAAGGTAAAAATTTATTCACTGAGAACTTCTTTCTTCTGACTTTTAGGAGTTTTTCCTCCTGTGATTAAGTCTTTTACTTCACATTAAAACGTGTTACATGAGACAGTTGGGGGATTTGTTCAAAACCCGATTACTAGTTAGCTAAATCTTATTTAGATAATTTGGCCCCATCAACTGACTTGATAATGTAAATTAACTATTGTAAAGAGTTTCTAAAGCTGATATTTCCAGTGCAAGCCTTTTGTTAGAACTTAGAAACTGTTTACAGTGGCCAAGTTACATTATCAACTCAGTTTCTGGAACAAAATGATCTTGTAATACCCCCCTCCCCTCCCCCAACCATCTCAGCACCACAGTTTCTTTAGAAACTTACCCCCCCTCAACCCTTACTTAATTTTTAACCTAGTTTGGTTTACAGTTTTGCAGACTTTACTGTTCATTATTATTTTTCCCTTTACTCTTCCCTCACACCTCTACTTAACTCCTACAAAAAAAGATCCTGTTGTGCACTACTGTTACTTTAGAGAAGTCAAAACCAAGGCTAATGTTTAATCCCAACAGCCATTGCCCTGGGCAAGGTTCATAATGATAAGCATACTCTAGATTAGTGCAACTATATAGTATTTATTTTTATGCCTTTTAAGACACTTTTACCAACCCATCACAAATGCTGGCTCAAAATGTTAGCCCAGTGTTGCAATTAAAAACTTATGTAGGTAAAACCGAAACCCTGCTGAACCTTTTTTCCTTAAAGTTGTGTTACAATGACTTAGCATTGGTTAGACTCACAGCAGACTATGGAAAAGCCTCTTACTATAAATCTTTCCAATCTCATATGTAACCTAAACCGTAGTATTGTTATCTTTACAGGCCAACTCAAATTCATATGACAATGAACTCCTGGAACTTGTTATTTCTCTTGGCCTAACAGCAGATGTTGCTAAAACTCCCTTCCTAACCCCTCTGATCAGCTATGTTACTAGCAATCCTGATGGATCTTTGGACACTGATGCAGTTGAGGTGGCAACTGAATTATCTCATGCAGGTGCACGAGTCAAGTTGGTTGCCTCCCAATTACAGGCGGCAGGCCACTGGGGTGAGGCAGGAACATTGATGTTGAATTATCAAGGGACACATCCAGCTTTGAGGACCTTTGATAGTGCACTAGGTGCCTTATCAAGATGGCTCAGAAGATAACGCTTGTTTGGTCATATGTCATTCTATGCCAGTCTTGAGAGACATCTGCATTTGACATCAAGAAATACTCTGTGTTAGTACTTTTCTTGTATTAAAGCTAATAATGTACATGAAGAATTATGTACTTCTGATTGGCTGATAATGAGTGCATTCTCATGTAAGACAAGTGCAAAGTTGAAACATGAGTGCAAATTACAAATAGCATGTGCAAGCTTTCAAAATTGTGTCTGTCTTACTTTCTGTGATGTTTTTTCATGTAGTTTATTAACAAGTAATAACATGATTTCTCTTGCAATTTGGTGTTAATCAGCATTTGTAAATTTTTCAGACTACATATTGCACTTTTGCTACAGGCTTATGCAATTTTGTTGTCTTTGTAAAATTCACTTGTTCATATTAACACCAAATTGCACTCAAAATCATGTTATTGCCTAGACAAAGTGCATGTGTGCACTTGCATTATTTATATGAGGAATTGAGCTTCATAAAGAATACCAGTTGAAGTCCCATGATAAGTTTCTGCAATGATGTCTTTGGATGTCTTAGTTGTGGGAACAAATTTTGTGGATGAATATGAGGTAGAAGCTGGAGAAGTGTCGGCAAGTAGACAGATTTAAATTTATGCTGCATATATTGATATCAACAAATTAACCTGATTGATTTAACAAAAGCCACTATTTTAATAGTTATGCTAGTCTTTCATAAGACCGAAATATATTCCTGGAATAATCATAGAATTTTAAATTAATTGATGGATGGTTGCCTGTCAAGTATTAAATTATTTCTTTCTGTCAAACTGTGTGATCTCATCTCTTGGTAGAAAAGTAAATGATTATCATTGGCGACTTGCTGCTTTCAAGGTCAGTACCACTCAATGGACAGAATTCACCTTTGTCATTCAACATCCATTTTAAATTCCCACAAATAAAAAGTGTGATTTTCTATGTCCAAATTCATCTCCAGTTTAAATGTGCAAGAACACAGCTTTTGACTCCAAGGACCTACCATGGTCACGAGTTGATGAAAGACTTTTCTGCTCATGGAAACTGAAAGTGAACTTGCCTTGCATTATGCATCCAGCCAATTTGTCACACCTGGTTACTCCCTGAATTTTAACTCGTTCAGCTCTAAAACCATCACTAAATGGACTGGGAAGTGGTGATAAGAAACAGAAAGCATTGGGAAAAGTAGTATGAGGAAGGTTTTCACCACTTTTGCGAGACAGCTTTTTATTTGTGATGTCTCAAAGAAATGTTTAAATTTAGAAGACAAGCATACATAACCTGTTTTCATGCTCTGTTTTATCAGTTAAAAGAGAGGAAAAGGAAGAACATTTAAATCAACATGAAGTTTAGAGACCTTTGTTTATTAGTTTTGGTAAAAATTAAGTAAAAAAGTTCTACCATTTAGCAACTCCATACACAGTACCAACATTGTAGAGTTAAGAGCAATGAACTGCATGTATAATAATTTAGGGCCTGTATTGTGCAAATTAACATTAGGAATATGGTCAAACACTATTATAATTAACTATCAAGACTGACATTTTGTCCTTCTCAGGACTAAAAATAAACTCTTGAAAAAATTGCTCTTTCATACAATTTTCAATTTTCAATATATTCCTGACCAGTGTATTTTAAATAACAATACCACTCATGAATTGAAGCATTCTGAAAATTTTTCCAAACATAATTAAATGCGGATCATCTTCTAGATGTCATTGTTTTGTGCCTAGTAATTCTGTAAGTATATCTTTAAAAACATTTTTTTAAGTAAAGAGATATTTGTTTTCTTTATGTTATTACTTACTGAAAGTCATACAAAGACTTACAGCAGACAACCATTACTTGATATGAGTTTTAAAAGACCATCATGTTGCCTGAAATGATAGAGTATGAAATGTGATCATTATTTTACAAAATATTACACAGCATTCGTGTTGTCTGGATAATCTAGTCAAACGTTAAAATTACATAGCATTCAGCATGTTTCACGTGTATGATAAATTTTATGTATGTAAGCCATCTAACTGGAGTTTATCCATCTTCATTGGAAATACAATCCTCAACAATCTTCTTCAGATTTGGGTTTTCCATTGCTGCTGCTATGCGCTCCTTGTCGTTTATCTGTTTGTTGACTAAGGAGATAAACAAAATATCATTTTACATAGACATCTTGCAGATACTTCAAGAAGAAAGTACAGGTTTTAAACCACATCCAGAAGAAAACAATAATTTGGATGTAAACTTAGCTTAAACAAAATCAGCAACCTACACTGGAAGTGACTACAAGTAGTACTTTGTGAAAAAACTGTAATTAATAACTTGAGGAGTTGTGGCAAAAGTACATGTATAATTAAAGACAATGTTAGTCAAAACATTTGCTTTTGAGGCTGGTAATCATATGGCATTTTCCTTTAATTTTACTTCACACATTGGCTGACATGATACATGTAATAACAATTTATAACATACTTTCATCCTCAGTTGAATGAGTTCCTTTGGAAAGGAAGATATCAAGCTGCAAATAAAAAAAAAGCATTTTTAAATATATTATCAAAATTTGAACTACTGACTATTCCTTCTTAAGAACTAACTCATTTTGAGGAGGGTTGGAATTAAATATTAAGTTTATTTTGCATCCCAGCAAAATAAATACAATGTAGGGAATAAGGAAGGGGGCATGTAATTAAGGATTTTTTCTTCTCGTGTCAATTCACCTTAACATCTCATGAGTGAGAGCAGCAAACCAGTGAGGTATTGATTTGAACATGAGAAGAGAAATTCCATACTTACAAGCAACTATGTATTATTTTATTTATTATCTAATCAGCATAGGCTTTTCCTGACAAGAACATTCAACAAAGGACCTTGAATTAAGAATGGTGAATGCTTTGCCATTCATTTGTCACACTGACAGAAAGGTGCAAATGGTGAGCAATGTGACAGCAGCTGATTGGCGATATCAAACAAATAAAACATTTTCCAAAATTTATACATTTTCTCAAGGCTGGAAATCCTTGTTAAACACTGCAATTTATACGCTAAACAACAGTATTCCACAGTATATTTCAGATTCACTATCTCCTTAGTTTGATGTTGTCTTCTTTTCTTACTTGTGTTTTGAAGTTTATTAATTAAAATATAATAAATCAATGAGGGAAATCTAAGCACAATGAAGTAATATAACATTGATCAGAATTTTATATTGGATTTTTTGAAAAACTTGGCCTCATTTTGCACTTAACTTTATATAAATACCAGTAAGATGGTAACATTAACTGAGATTTGTTACACAAAGGGCTGTTTTAGTCAGATGTCTTTATCAGTAGTTCTCTCTCTGGTATTATAGAAATGAGATTAAAATAACAAAGCTCACCTTAAACTTGTAAGGTAATGAACGCTCCAATTTAACCCTCAAACATAGACCTGTAAAAGAAACAGTGGGCTAATGATAAATTGTCTTGGCATCCTTCTGGATCAAGTTAATTGTTCATTTTAAGACAATTTTTGGAAGGTTAGGTTATTCCATGGAATCCCTAAAGGCAGTCTGTGATATAATTTCAAATACATGTTGAAATGGTAGAGTTCACAATAAACTCTATGTTGCCATCTGTCTGTTCTGTATTAGATCCCAGATGAAATGAAAACGTGGTTACAAAAGAGTTACACACAAAGGTGCAGACGAGTGTGTCACTGCTGTTTTTACCACATTTTTATGTCTTCTGTGATCTATTACTGTACAAACCTGCAGTAACAAAAAAATTTGCTCTTTTTCAGATGACACCAAAAGAAGAATCAAATCAGTCCTCTCAGAGACCATAAGTAGGAACCATTAAAATACATAATTCACTTATTTTATGAATTAAATTGTAACATTTCTGGAGCAAACCTCTTTAATAACTCATCCTACTAAGGGGAGGGAATTAATATGGCTGCATAGAATCACAGAACAAAATTCAAGAGTAGCTAACTCACCAATGAGGGTTGCAAGGGAACAGTGAGGAACAGTGGGTTTGAATTCTATTTGTATGCTGTATACATCATCTCCAAACTTGTTAATTCTAATATATTCCTCTTCAATGACATTCAGCTCCTCTAGAGTTTGTGGTAACTCAGGGTCCTTCATCAAGAAAAGAAATAATTAAAATTTCTACATCATTGAAGCAGAAACAAGCCTTAAACCAGTAATATACATGCTCCAATGCTCCAGCTTCATATAAGCACTCTGTTTGGAATAAGAGTACTATTGATGTTTAGCCTTTGATTCCCAAGATCTGATTGTTAAGTCTCCCTTCTGGCAACTACACATTTCCATGTAAAATTAGTTATGAGAATGTGGTTTTAGATCAACATGACAACTTCTTATTGATAAGTTTGAGTGTTCTCACAACCTGTTTACTGGATAATGTATGGATATTATAGGGAGAAATAACATGTTTATCACTTCTGGGAGTTAGATGAGCAAGAGAATTTGTATCACAACCTAATCAAATCTAAAAAGCTCTGATTTCCAAAAATTTTTCAAAAATTTCTCAAAACAGTTGAAACATTCCTACATATCACCCTCTCCAATACTCTTCCTGATGACATCCAAGGTTTGGGAAAGTGTGATTATTTACAATGACTTCTCTTTTAAAGGATTGGTTCGAGCTTAATTTATCTTGCATAATTTTAATCAAGGCTAAAATTATGCTTGTTTTCTTAGTGAAGATGGGAAACAGAAGGCACTAGCTGGTGCAAGATGGAACTGTTGATGCAGGAAAATCATGCCCAAGATGTGACTAGAATTAAGTATATTCAACAACGCACATCACCCTCTCTTATAAGTCAAATAACTGTTCTATTGGCTGGCTGTCTAACTGGCAGATGGAAAAAAAAAACAGAAAATTTAACCCCTGGTTACTTATTCTTCAAAGTGCACCAACAAGATAGACCCCATCAGGACAGATCTCAAGGGCCTTGAATTCTGTAGCTGACTGCATTGGCAGTCAACAGGCCAAATAATGGATTATCAGCTTGTTTGTCTGGATGAGAAATAGGGGAGGTGTTTTGCATCAAAATAACTAAATTCTGTTTCCGATGCCTACCTGGGTTTCTATCACTCAGCTATGTGCAATATTAAATTAACTTCTGTATTCAACTTACCTTTATACCTTTAACAATATCTAAAAAAAAAATAATAATGAAATAAATTGGGTCAAAGAAATTGAATATTAAGATTAAGTGAACTTTGTACTGAGTAATTTATAATATGGGTGTAGCTTAACTTCCCTGTTGTTTAGCTCACTTTTGTGAGTTCTCCAAAATACAAAATCAATTTTTTTAATCAAGGTTTTTGTTATTTTTTTCCAAGTACAAGAAAAGTGTTATGAAAGTTGTTTCCTCGATCCTTTTACTCCCAATATCTCATTAAAGATTCTATCATTACCGATAAAAGCTTCTAATTTATGTGGGAATTTTGTAGTTCATCGAAAAATATCCTAGCTA